AAAAAAAAAAAAAGGGTCAATGACCTGGAAGGAGGTTCTTTGTGGGGAGCTTTTAAGATGCCTCTCCCTAATCCACAAAATCTAAAACTTACCTATGTCAGCCCTTTTAGGCAGAAGGGCTGTATTTCTGTCCCTAAAGATCTCTTTTTATTTCTGCATTTTTCTCTTACAATGGTAAACATTTGTGACAGACTTTGCCTGCCTTAGCTATGCTCAAAAAAACCAAGAGGAGTGACTCTAAACGAAGTTGGCCTAGAGCTTTTAAAACAGTGTCAGAGGCAACCGAACGCAGTTGCTTATACCTGTAATCCCAGCACTCTGGGAGGCTGAGGTGGGTGGATCACCTGAGGTCAAGAGTTCGAGACCGGCCTGGCCAACATGGTAAAACCCCATCTCTACTGAAAATACAAAATTAGCCAGGTATGGTGGTGCATGCCTGTAATTGCAGCTACTCGGAAGGCTGAGGCAGGAGAATCACTTGAATTTGGGAGGCAGTGGAGGTTGAAATGAGCTGAGATTGTGCCACTGCACTCCAGCCTGGGCAACAAGAGTAAAACTCTGTCTCCCCCCACCTCCCAAAGAAAAGAGGGTCCGAGGCTTCTCAGAATGAGAAACCCACATGGGGAAGGTAATACTCAGGTATCAGAGTTCGATCATCACTTCCTCACGTGGAGATTGTGGATTTTGTTCTTTTCAAGAGATGGGGTTTCAAGTATATTCAGAATCAGACTCCCAAAGACTAAACAGGGCAAGGACTATGTCATTTGTGACTTTGTATCCCCATTATCTAGTATATTACTGTACCCACAGCAGGGGCAGGTAAGTACCTGCTAAATAAATATATCTCTCTGCTGGAACGCACTCTTTGGCCTCAGAGAGTACACTCACATAGTCCACAAACATATATTTATAGTACCTGCTTTGTGGCAACACTGCACTTAGTGCTGGGTGCCATACCAACAAACAAGATGGGGTATAAAGAAAAAAATAAGAAGATAATCACAGAGAATTAGAAATGCTATGAAAACAAGCAAAGTACGTGATAGAGAAGGATGGGGCAGGAGAGTTAGTAAAGCCCATCACAGGGCTGGTTGTGGTGGCTCACACCTATAATCCCAACAACTTGAGAGGCTGAGGCAAGAGGATTGCTTTATCCCACAAGTTTGAGACTAGCCTGGGACACACAGGGAAACCCATATTTCTACAAAGATTTAAAAAAATATAGTTGGGCATAGTGGTGCATGCTTGTAGTCCTAACTACTCAGGAGGCTGAGGTGGGAGAATCCCTTGAAGCTAGAAATTTGAAGCTGCAGTAAGCTGTGATTGTGCTATTGCACTCCAGCCTAGGCAACAGAGAAAGACCTTGACTCTGAAAATTAAAAAAAATAAAAAAAAAAGATCATCATGGAGAAGTGTCAGTCACAAGAAGGCTTACAGGAAAGGCGTTTTCCAGCCTGAAATAGTATTAAGTCTCTGAGGCAGGAATGAATTTGGCATATCCCATGTTCAAGGAATAGAGAGAAGGCCAGTATACCTGGAATATGAAGAATGAGAGAAGAATGGTAGGAAATTAAGTTGGAGAGACAGCTTGAGGCCTAGTAGATCACATTGAATGAATACAAGGCTCCATAAGCCACAGTATGAACTACGGATTTTATTGTTGGTGTAATGGGAGGTGACAAGATCTTGTTTGCCCTTGAAAAGATTACTCTGACAGTTGTGTCAACAGACTATATGGGGACAAGAATGGAAGCAGAAAGAACAAAGGAGGCTGTTGTAGTCTTCAGAGAATAGACGATGGAAGCTTGGACTAGGCAGGTTGTCAGTGGAGACAGAGAAAAATTAATGAATTTGGAATTATGTTCCAGCAGTAGATTTGACATCTGATTTTTTAGACTGGATGTGGGGGTGGGAGTGAAGGAAGGAAAGAAGTCAAAGATAACTCCTAGGTTTTGAACTTGAACAAGTGAATAGACTAGAATTGCGGGAAGATAGCCTTGGAGGAAAAATTAAAGATGTTTCGTTATATGAGTGTGAGTGGTCTATCAGATACATATAGATGGAGATGAGTTGGAGATTCAGATCTGTCAGTCATTTGAAGCTCAAGGGGGAGGTAAGACCTGGAAATATAAATGGGGAATCACTGGTATATCAGTCATATTTAACGCTGTGGGGCTGGAAGAGAACGCCTAGTGTAGATGAAGAAGGAAAGAGGTTCAGAGACTGAGCCTTGGGACCTTCCCAATTTTTAAGTCAGGTAGAGGAAGTGAAGTTGAATATAAAACAAGGTGAGTACAGGGTGGAACTTCTGGCCAAGGAAGAGTGAGGAGATCCTCTCCTGCAAAAGCAACAGTAAAACAGGACAAAACTGACAAAACCAGCCACTTCAGCACTCTGGAAGTTAACCAATGGGACTTAACAATCTGAGCAACTTTTATGCTTGTAAAACTGCTGGACTTCAGGTTTTTTTCCCCTCCATGGAAAAAACAGTAGAATCAGCGGCTTTCTTTTTTTCAGACAGGTGGAAAAAAAAAAAAAAAGTAGGGTTGCCCAGGCTGCAGTGCCCACAGTGGAATGCAGTGACATAATGTCAGCTCACTGTAGCCTCAACTTTCCAGGCTCAGGTGAGGCTGCTCTCATCCCCTCCCACACACAGTTGGTGTAAAAACTCTGGCAACAAGGTGTTGGCCATGAAAACAAATAGCTTCCACACAGAAGGAAGGAAATCACTTGATTTCCTTTGTATGCAGCAATATTGCTGATAATTGATGATCTCCAAGGCAGTAAGCAGGAAGAGCCAAAGGCTCGACTGGCTGGAGGTGTGTTCCTGGCTGACACCGTGTGACAATGTAGACCTGAGAGGGCCCAAGTTAGCCACATACTCATGGCCCACCCTGAGGCTGCATACACACATGTAAGAGATGCAAAAGGACCTCGTGGGAAGTAAAAGCCAGGGTAGATCTCAAAATGACTTGAATTTTGAATATGCTTCCCTACCAACACACAGATCCAACAGTACAAGACCAAGACCTTATAGGTGTTTAGGAACAAGATCCTGTTCAATCGCTAGCTGATCTGATCACTAAGGAACATAAACACACTAAGATATAAATTATAAAAAGGAACCAAATCGGGAATATTGGCTTTTAAACTCTTTGGCCACCATGTAAGCAGTCTGCTTTGAGGCCACCAAGCTGTGAGGAAGCCCAGACTATTTCATGCATCAAGACAACAGGGAGAGTTCCTGACACCACATGAAAAGAGAGAGATGTCTGGCCAGACCCCAGAAGCTCCACCCTGCTGTCGTTTCAGCTCTAGCCCCCAGAAGCTCCATTCCCCTGCTGTTTCAACTTGAGCCACCATCTGACTGCAACTGCGTAAGAGATCCTGAATCAGAATGATCTAATCAAGCCCTTCCCAAATTCCTGAACCACAAAACCCAAGAGGTTTATAAGGCTGGAGAAAGCTAAGGCCCACAGAAGGGAAAAAAAAAACCTTAGGTAAAATTGTCAATTAGACCAGGGGTGGTGGCTCACACCTGTAATATGAGCACTTTGGGAGGCCTAGGTGGGCAGATCACGAGGTCAGGAGTTCAAGACCAGCCTGTCCAACATAGTGAAACCCTGTCTCTACTAAAAATACAAAAAAATAGCTGGGCGTAGTAGCAGGTGGCTGTAGTCCCAGCTAGTTGGGAGGCTGAGGCAGAAGAATCACTTGAACCCAGGAGGTGGAGGCTGCAGTGAGCCGAGATTGTGCCATTGCACTCCAGGCTGGGAGACACAGCAAGACTGTCTCAAAACAAACAAACAAACAAAAAAAAACCCTCAATTAGCTGAGTGTGGTGGCAGGTGCCTGTAATCCC